ACAGAATAGATAGTGAGTAGCGTAGCCAATCAGAGAACAGCTTTCGTGATAGATCGCCGGTGGATTTATACTAAATTGAGTTAGAAACTTGCCTTGAGACTTTCCAGCGGATAGATTTTAGAAACAAGCTCACAAACTCATTGCCGTCACCACCTTCGCACTCTTGCAATGATGAGAAGAGATGCAAAAACTGGAAGGAATGATGCTAGTAAAAAGTGCCTTACCCTACCACTCTTGATTCTCCTCCTCTGTTGTAGCATGAGTTTCCGCAACTTCACTGGTAGCTTTGCTTTCAGTATCCTAGCATTTAGCTACTGCATTTGAGATTTGCCCATTACTTCAGTGAGCTTGATCAAATCTGGACTCAGTTTTGATTATGACGACAGCCGCGGAGCGTAACCCTTGTCTCCTTATTGCCGTCTCGTTTGAATCGTAGAGACGAATTTTTCAGCTATGCAATTACTTCGGATCTCCCTTCGATTGAGAAGCTGCCTTGTGCGTCGTATTTTGAACTCTCCTCAAGGTGTTAGGAAATGTGATGAAATGGTCCCTCTTGTGTTTCATATGTAACGTAATAATAATGTGCAGAGCAAATTTGCATTCGAGATGAAGTGTCACAGTCAGGTTTCAGTCAGTCACCTCACGTTCTTTGCATTTGTTGTTGTTGTCAGAATTTCAGAAAGAAAGGGTTGATTATAAGTATAAGTATTAATCATAAGTTGAAAGCCTTGCTAACTCAGTGAGAAGTGACATCTATACCAAAACTCTCGCCGGCGTTCGTGCTTTTCTCAATGTATTGTCGAACCTATTGAAGCGAGAAAATACGTATATTCTATTTTCACCAAAGCGTACTTCTTGTGTCCGGAATACATGAATTATAATCGTGGTTTACAAAGAAGTGTCAAACGACACGCCCATTTTGGCTTCGGTCGCGGTAGGGAAAATTTGAATCGTCATCGTCCTCGATGAATGCTACCTTTAAGGTGCCCTCCACACTACAGTTAGGCAAACCGGGGGATTTTAAAAACACTGGCTGTGTCAGCATTTTAGTGTGAACGGTAAACATTTTGGAAACGGAACTTTTCGAAAACGATGACGTCACCATAATCATTTGATTTCCCTGTCGGAGTTTTCCTCAAGCACAAATCCAAAATGACGGGTGATTGTTACTTTTAAGCGTGTGTGCTAGCAAGTGAAACAGATTGCCCTACACTTGTACTGACGGACTCTCGCCGTATCAGATGAATACCATATTTGCGCCAACTGCAACGAAGTCAATGTGCTGTCATTTTCTACAAAGCAGGATCCGTGAGCCGCAAGAACTCGGTGAAGGCTCAACTTACAGATTGAACAATTGCTACTAAGCCAGAGAATGGGCACTTATCCCAGAGATTATTTGTCAGTTTCAACATTTGCACTGGCCTACAGCAAATCTCGTTTAGAAATTTTTTTGGCTTCAGAAATAGGTGACTCCCCAATACAATAGATCTACGCTTTTTCCTAAACATTGGCTTCGCATACAGTATCGAAGCAGGTGATTTTGAGGGCATGATATTTGTTTATCATCTCCCTTCGATGACTTTAGTGTCAAATATGTGATATCCCACTTTATTTCCAGTTGTGATGTTGTCTGGGATAAAATTAATGCAGATGGTTCTTTTTTTCTGACTTTCCCAGCTTAAACTCATATAAATACTTCTCATTTTGCCCAAATGTCTTTAAATCAAAGAATCTCTTTAAAAAAACTATGGATTTTACTGTAATCAAGTGTGCCCAACATATATAATTTTTCTTTACAAGTGTGGAAGTTTAACTTCTAGATCAAAACTGTCAATTTCCGCTAGCGAAAAAAAAACCAAATACACGAAATGATATCACGTTGAAAGAAAAAATTGCTAGACTCTTAAATAGCTAACCCCTTTTAATGGATTTAATGAGACTTGCTTGCTGTCATAATGAGAGAAAACCGCCTTACATTGATGCGAGATTGTGTCGACAGGCAACAGAACGCGTTAACTTGATCATGAAAGTTTCAAATGAGATAAGAGCTGTGAGTTCTTCACCTTTCCATTAACAACTTTCATAGCTTAAATACTTTCGTTATTTAGTATAAAATATTCAAAATGTTGGGCAAAGAGCAAAGCATTTAATTCGACGTTCTGTACTTAAACGAACGAAGGTTAAAAGCAATCGCAAAATTGAAGGGTCTCTTTTCCGTTTGTCTTCATAAGAGGGCGCCGCAAGATACAGTTTATTGTCACACACCTTCGGCAATATTCTTAACTTGTACATATATTTGAAACTTTGTGGTCAAAATTCTCTAAAGAGTATTTAACTAAAATATGACTGTGCATGAGTGAACTAGGATAGAGTGAAAAATACATTGCCTTCATGAGTTGCATGGAATAATATCGATCTGTATCAACGACCTAATCGGCAATTTGTTATGGAGCCATTACTCGAGTTTGCCAGTGGATCTGACCGAAAATTTTCTCTACATGCGCAAACGTCAGCCCAAAGACTTGTAGAAAACGAAATATAAAAAAAAAATGGTCTGAAAAAAGGTCTTACACTATATCAAAAACCTACACATTTCTCGCGAACAAATACTAAGACAGTTTTTTAAGGCTTGACTTTTTTTCCTGTGTCAAGCGGGCCTTCATTGAGGTTACTAGTAATGAACTTCGTTGATTAAACTAACAAAAGACGTTTTGCGTTTCCTGTACGGGACAGATGTAAATTGGAAAAATTCTTTCCCCGGCAGAAAGATATTGAATTCAGTCAAGGATATCAGAAAATACCGGAAATCTTTTTATTTGTTCCAAAGTCAATCCACTTAATTTTAATCAATGATAACAGGAAAATCAAATGAAAGGCAATTTACAGAGTATCGATTTCAAGAGATCTTTGCTAAACGGTAGGACAAAATTATGACACCTGCTCTCAGGGTTTTCTTCCTTTATCATCTCCGAAAAATCGTTTGCGAAGTTAGTAACTCAGTGTCCAAGAGTATAGTTTCAAAATACAAGGAAATAAATAGTCAAGTTTAGTCGTTTTACGAATTTGTGATTGACAGCTAAGGAAACAAGCACATCGACATTGAGTGGTTTTCTTTACCTTTCAAGAACGAGAAAACACAAAAGGGGAAGGAGTTGTCAACTGTTTTTAAGCTGCAAGAATAGAAACTTGCTTTCAAAATGGTCTACTCTTTCTTATTTTAGACGCCGTTTAGGTCAATACAAGGAATTGACTGTCACTTGTGAAATTTTACCCTCCAAAAAATTTTATCGCCTATGATCGGTTCAAACTTTACAAAACTAAGTCCTTTTGAATACTAGAGTAAATAACAAGTTCTAAAAATTCAATTGATCATGATTTTTCTGAACTCTACTCCTTTATGCTTAGTTTTGTCATTCTTCAGTGAAGAGCGAATCATAAACATCTCTCAAACAGAATATTTTCGAGACTCTAAACAACGTTGAGCTCTCCACGTGTTCGCGAATTTTCTAATTCAATGATATATCCGACATTTTATTATCATAATTAGGTCGCCTTCGTTATAAAACCAAATATAAAAAGAGACAAAGAGAAATTACCCCGCTTAAAATAACCAAATTTTTAGTGACTTTTACGGCTGAGAAAACCAACATGTTAAATTAGTTCCAAATTGGTTCCAACCTAGCTAGAAAGCCAGCACGTATTATTTACTAACCAAATCAAATCAGAAAAAACAGTTCATTTTCCGCGGCACATGTGAAAAGGAAAAATTGAACCGCCATTGTTCGGGTGTTCCGGAACTAAAACAACAGAAAGGAAGGTAATATTTGAATTCGAGGTCCATCCTTTTTTTTTTAGCAGATGGATGGGCTTAAAAACGTGGGTTAGAATGCTTTAAAGCCTCACTGTTGAATTCTTCCAGAAAGTGTACATGCGACTGGAAGAAGCGGATTCCGCGTCTGACTGATTCACTCCCAAACATATTCCAGGTATGTCTGAGATTCTTATCACGTACAAACTTGAAACTTTATTTCATTAATTTAGGCAAACTAATGAAGTGTTTCTATAGAGTGAATGTTGACTAACGAACAAATACTACACTTCTCTTGTGTATGAGTCATGGGATTTATTCGATACCCTAAGTAATTCAGTTGAGGCTGTTGCCGACACAATTGTTACCGAAATTAAATAGACGCGTAACCTGTATGAAAGATTAGCACGTTCACTTTACGGAGAGAGAAGTCTTTTCTCAAACTTCATAGCGCACACAACGCGTTATCTAAGCAAAAGCCATAGACGGAAGTAACAAATTTCCTGATTATTATCATTGCACCTAAAGGAGATTTGCGCCACAAGGAGGTACCTGAGGCAGCGTCCAGACTACACCGGAGAATTTTGAAAACGCGACTTCATTTCTATGNAAAGCACACAGACAAAAAGCAACAACAAACTGTACACACCTACACTCACTTAGCGAACAAAAGCGATAGTAGGCCTGTTTTTTTTTGTCTTTCTTAACCTCTGTTGCCCTTCTTCAATGGCGTAATCTGAATAGGCTACTCGAAGCGCTCACTCGTGGTTATGTGACGTCACACTGGTAGCGATAAATCAATACCGGAAAACAATAGAGTCACCCCCTCCCTCCTGATGTCAAACGTTATCCTCCAGAGAAAGATTTTTTTGGGAGCGGTGAATAAGTTATTTCGGCTGCCAGCCCACTTTACCACTGAATGTATTTTTCTCAATTAAGTCTTAACTTACATCTATATATATATATTTTTAATTCAGACACAAAGTTTGGATGTCTTGTAATGCTCATTTAAGTTAAACGTTTTGAAACTTTTCCAAGCTAATTTCAAGGATATTGAACCTTTAACCTTCTTTTAACCAAACGTTTTACCCAAATTATGTGGGTAGAATTTTCAACTTATAACAAAATAATTATGCCTTTTTCTCACGTTATAGCTTTAACCTGTTTAAAGAATTATTAGTAAGAAAACTTCGTCGCCATGTTGTCATTGGTCAGAACATCACTCGTCCTAGTCCTTTTTCTGTTGGGTTTACTTTTGAGCGCCGCTGTTCCACCAGAAGAGTGGCTGCTAAGCAGATCTAAGTGGATTGAAGGCGTGAATAATGAGCAGAGTCTTGATGTACAGCGGTTTGATGAGAAGAACAAGGAGCTGAGTCCTGATGTACAGCGGTTTGACAAAGAATCTGTAAATGCTGAGCAGAGTGAGCAGAGTCCTAATGTACAGCGGTTTGACGAGGAAATCGTGAACAATGAGCCGGATCCTGATGTACAGCTGTTTGATGAGGGATACGTGAGCACTGAGCACAGTCCTGATGAAAAGCGGTTTGATGAGGAATCTTACTCAAGGTAGCTTTCATTGACTTTATGAATTCATACGTAAATAAAACACACATGAAGAAAACATCTAAAACGAAAATCGCGTGGGAAAAAGTCAGTGGCGTGAACGTACAATTTTATACCATACATTTCTAGTTAAAACAGTGTTTGTTGCCATTTACATTTACATTAATGTAGATCTCAACAAAACTGAAACATTTCCTTCTTAATCCAGTCATTCAATGCGCAGTGTCATTGATGGGAGAGAATGAAAGGAGGAGAAAGTTGATTTTGATTCTTTATTTTGTTTAGCCCAAATAAAGTTCCAGCTGAGGTAGACCAGATCGCAGATGCGTTCGCTGATGGACCTTATTCAGAAAAGTCGCTACCAGAGATTCTGCGGCGACAATTCCCTCATCGACCTCAGTGTCGCTTTGGCGGCTGTGGCAAATAAATGAGTGAGGTGGGACTTTGTGTTGGAGTGGCTTGACTATTGTATGAAAATGAAATTCTGATCACCAGGTTATAATAAAAATCCAGTTTATTTTCATTTTATTTATCCACTCCATTCCTGTTTGTTTTCCGAAATGGCGTCTTCCTGACTGTCACCTCCTTACCCCATATATATTTTGACCCTTCAAAAATTGACAGCAACACTGACAAGAACTATAAAATAAAATGCGATTAACTCAAATTCATAATAAATTTGCTTGAGATAGGTAAGAACATTGTGCGATGTTGCGTTGTGTAGCCTCTAGTTCAAAACCTCGCCATAGCCTGTGAACGGACCAGGCTCACGTTTTAGACATCAAACGCCGGCGAGACAACTTCGCGCCTCTGCCAATCCTCGGCTTTGGTCGGTGCGTGTGACTCAAACATGAGCCTGCTCACAGGTTAAGGCCAGCTTGAGATGTTACCGCTCGAAACAGTACATATTGTATGCAATATGAGGATGTATTTCATAAATCATATGAGGTTATGTTTCAAGTTATTGATTAAATAATGTGTGACTGCATTGGCTTTGTGGTAGTGGCATTGGCTCGTTCCCACGCAAGACACTTAACATTCATCATGCCTCTCTTCGATCAGTCGGTATAACTGGGTACATGCCAAAGAATTATTGGTGCAAAACTAATGAAACGTTTCTAAAGAATCGCTAAGTTGTTCTAGCAAGTGAAACACCCTGTTGATCGTCAACTCGAAGAAGTTGATAAGACGTAGCGAGGGGGCCAGTTCACATATATATTAAAACTCTAACTTGGCTCCTAGGCTTGGGGAATAAAACGAAATAAATTAATTATTCATCCCTCATACTCGATTCGACTTCTTTCGTTTTATTCCCCTAAGCCTCGGAACGAATTTAGAATCTAATATATCGAAGTTGGCCAATTTGGAACAAATGACTTTTCGAGAGCGTCGGCTTTTCCAAATTCGCTATGGCTGTTACAGGTTAATTTACGTGTTGTCAGCATTCAATCGGCAATTAGGTTTAAGATCTAGAATTCTTAGAGAATTAATCTTACAAACTGAAGGGTTTAACTTACGATGGATAATTCACTTCGTAGCACGGACACTGGAGTTGGGCCATTCTCGTTCCCGGACGTAGCCTTCGTTTCTCTTAGCCAGCGGGCCCCGACGGCTAAGAGAAGCGAAGACTACGGGGTCGAGAATGAAGTTCGGCTTCTTGAGCCGGCCCTTAGATTCATTCCGAAAAGGATTTTCTCAAGAAAAGGATAATTTAGAGACTAAATTTTATATTGAAGGCTTGTTTCTGTTTAAAAATACGTCTCTGATCGAAGAGGTCGCGTCCAAAAGTCGTTTCCTTTTATTACACAACTATAGGCAGCTGAGAGGACTGGTGACTAAAATCGCGCCCTTTTATATCAATGGTAGACAAAACAGCCCGCTTATACCCGAGACGGGATGAACATTGTTTAAAATAAGAAAGAGACTAAAAATTTAGGTATTAAAAAAAGACAATTTCATTCGCAAAGAAAACAATTTTAATAATTTTGCACAACTAACAGTATATAATAGCTTCTAAACAAACAAATGTTCAAGCAAGTTATGTTGCGGAATTTTAACTGTGAGCTTCCACGATATGTTGATTATAATTATGACAGAATATGGAAATGTTCGTTCTTCACTTTAAGCTATGCCTCTCTCGTAAGAAACTTCCGTCTCTCGCCAAAATTTCGATCGTCATTACCATGTTCATTACTGTAAAATAAAATAAGAATTTTAAGCATTAGTTGTCTGTGAAAGCAGAATCTAGGGCCCTGTCCACACTTCATGGGAGAAATTTGAGAACGGAGTTTTCACTCTGAGAACTCAGCAAATGTTTTTCGTCCATACTAAGCCGGAGAAATTTGAAAACGCGACAATCACCGGTCATGCTGGATTTGTGTTTGAGGTAAACTTGGACAGCGATGACGAGATTATCGTTTTCGAAAAGCTCCGTTTTAAAAATGTTTTCCGTCCACACTAAAACTAACAATCGGCGTTTTCAAATGCTTCCGGTTTGAAGAGCGTTTTCGAAAAGTTCCGTTTTGGTGACGTATTAGTGTGGACGGTAGGCTTAACTGTAGAAATGAAGCTGCGTTTTCAAATTTCTCCGGCGTGGTGCGGACGCTGCCTAAGTATTCTCGAGTGATCCGGCACGACTTGCAGTAATAAACACAAACGCCGCCCAAGAGCGAGAAGCTCGAGCGGTTGTAAGACTTTCGTATGAACTTGACATGATAACTCGTGATCACATTTACAAAATACCAAACGAACTAGGGCAAAGCAATTTGATTGGTTTAGCAACAGAGGCAAACGTCCAGGGAGAACTCCCATATGGAAAGGTTGGAGATGCAAGTCGTCTTACCCAGGGGTGTAAATCAAGGATTTTGGTCTCATGGAGGATGTTCAGGTCAAAATGCCACTATTTTCAGCCTTCAAAGTATCTTTTAGGGTGCTCTCGAAGAATAAGTAACAAAAACGCAGTAAATTCCGTTTGAAAGTGGTATCTTCTAGGGATTAAATAAAACCCTCGACTACGCCCATATTGGTCTCCTTCAGGAGGCCAACTCAAATTTTCCGACGAGCATCTCTGACCTTTTCAAATAGGATTCCCTCTCCCATCTTGGGTAAACGTATGTTGCGTTTAGCGAACGCGCAAAGCAAAGCACACAGAATGTGAATGGCTAATCTCTACTGACTTCATTCGTGCTTCAGCATTCTTTAAGTCAAATAAACAAGGCTTTCTCCTTATAACGGATATTGTCAGTAAACGGAATACCTCGCTGTGACGTCCAGTATGATCCTTTTGAATCAAATTTCGAAAAATAAGAGTGCCCTTTGCTGAATAACTGGCTCATCCCTAAGAGAGCAACTTCCCCAATGGGTAGTGTTATCCTCGGGGTGGTGACCTCCATACAAAAAGGACGNGCTCGTCGGAAATTTTGAAAAGAACCCCTAAGAGGTACCAGGATCCTGCTTTATGGGCGTGGCTTGAAATTTTTTTCACCCCTAAGAGGTGCCAATTCTAAACCGAAACGTTATCTCCTGTCATATCAGTTTTTTTCCACTTAATACCCTAAAAGGTTCTGTAAAAGCTCCCGCTGAGGACCTTTTGAGGCTGAACACCCTTAGAGGTACCAAAACCTCTCTTTCTCAACCCTAAAAGGTACCAGGAGCACCCCCGTCCTTTTATATGGGAGCATCCCCCTCCCCCAGGGTGTTATACACCCTTTGAACAACTGTGCACGGAGTTTTAACCACGAGTAAACTCCGGGAGTGACAAGGACACTCGTCACAGAATAACAGTTTGCTCATTGTAACGAAAAGATTTGATACATGGTCACTTTTGGAAGATAGTTTCAAGTTGGTCATTTCTGATCATTCGTGGTCGTTCGTGCTGAGTCGTGAGCATTCAAAGTTTATCGCAGTCACTCGTAGTCAGTCGTTGGTCACTCGTAATCATTCATGGACACTCGTAATTAGTCGTTGGTGACTCGTAATCAGTCATTGGTCACTCGAAATCATTCGTGGTCACTCGTAATTAGTCGTTGGTCATTCGTAATAAGTCACCGGTAACCCGTTAGCATTCGAGGCCACTCACCAACGAGTCACTCGTATACTATTACTTGTCATTGTCAAAATTTAATTTAATTCAGGTTTTTGCTGAGTTAATTTCCATGACTGGCCTTTTCATCTCAGACACGGCACACATTTTGAAAAGCTTTCGTTTCACGATTTCAAGCTTACCTTCCGCTGTCCATGCTTGAAAGTTGATCTTTCAAAAATTCAGCATTCACTTTCCCTCTTTTGCGATCATTGCAGCGTCGTAGGAGTCTTTTACGCCAATTCGTCGTGCAGTTTGCATTTGCTTTGTGTTCTTGAGTGAGATTCATTACCATTATCCAGATAATTACAACAGAAAGAAGAGTTACTCTATCCATGATATTCAGTTTCTTTTTTGAAAATGTCTGAATATAGGGAAAAAAGGTACATTCAATGTGTCACGTCGCTTAAAACAATGAGCGTCTACGCCATCTTGCCCGCTTCAGCAAGAAGATTCATAATCGCGTGGCTTCAGCTGGTCTTTTATTTGGTAGTACATAAATTTACCTGTCATCAAGTGTCAAGTTCTCATTGCACTGGTCAGTCTTCATGATCGGCATTAACATCGAACATTTAAAAACATATTGCTATTCGTTCATGAACTGCTTAAGAGGCCCTCTGTCATGATCACGCATCGAGGCACCTAAGATTGCTATTAAAAGGTTGTTTTTTTAATCTGCCTTAGGGATTTCAGTCGATCAGTCACTAAATTGCGCTATATTACATAGAGTAATTTGCAAAAGTAGCTTGACTGCACACTTGCATAAACATACTTTTTGACAAAGCAGGTCCTTAGGGCTGTTGCGGACCTGCCATAAAATGTAACTATAGATATATCACAATGGTTATATTACAAGGGACATATATCTGTATAACTTCTTAAAGCAGCAAGTCTTTTGCTAACTTGGTCTTCCTTCCTTGTGACCTTTATGTCTGTATGTTGCTGATAGAGGATGTGCCCGGCTGCACAGCTGAACTTTACCTGTATATTGATACAGCTGTGTTGTGCCTTATTCTACTGAAGGTATACCATTTGCATCATTGATTTAACGTCAGTCAGTGTGCAGTGGCGGATGCAGACCTTGAGCTAAGGGGGGGTTGAGGGGGGCGGTTTTGTTTTACTAGCTTTTCTTCCTTCTGTGATTTCTTCTTCTTTTACCCAAAATAAGGAGGGGTGGGTCGGGCCCCTCGGACCCCTCCCCTAGATCCGCCACTGGTTTGAGAGCCGTGAGAGTTCTCATACTCTCAACTTAACTAATCTCTCATAGCTCAGTTGGTAGAGCCCCGCAGTGCTAATGCGAAGGCCATGGGTTCGAATCCCCGTTAAAAACCTGCGAAATCTTGTGGGTTTTTTTCACATTTTCATTTCACTAATCCTAAGGGTAGATAATTTTTTCTTCTTATCGTTTGGCTGTTCTAGAGCTTGTAAAAAATTAAAGAAAAAACGAAAGAAAACTTTTAGAGTCGGCTTCTAAGCATACCTTTCAGTCTAGTTTGAGCACAGGGAGCCCAAGACATTTAATACCAATGTGACTCAATTTAGAAGAGTTTGAAGTAGAAACAAAACCGTTTTGTCTTAGGTTGTATAAATTCAAAAGTTTTGTGAATTTAATCGATACTTATCGTTCGCAGCCCGCGTTTAGAATTATTAATTATCGTTTTGCGACGATAGATTCCACACACACGTGTATGGAAAGTTTCAGTTATTTTAAATTATTAACTGGGAATAATTCTTTCTAAGGGGAATATTCAAGGATTTGTAAGCTGAATGTCAAAGTTTGCTATCCGGCAGTAACTTTGTAACATTTGAGACCTCGAAGTTCGTTAGAGAGTGAATAATTGTCAACTAATTTTCTCGAGGATTTAAATGACAAAGATCATGCCAAGAGTTGCGCTTCGGCATCAAACCGGCTAAGAGAAAAGACAGATAACATAACACTTCAGAACAGACTTATTGCCATTCGGCCTTTAAAACTGTCGAAATAGTTCCAATCATGATTTTTGTCCAATGAATTAAAATCAAAGTCTTATCAGAACTTTTTATGCACTTGGTTTGTCTACAGTATGAAGTTTTTTAAGAGGAGTTTGAGGAGTTGACATAACACATAAATCACAGAGACACTACCGTAAATCTTTTAGTGGAATGCAACTAAACATCCTTTGTTATTAGACTGTTATTACGTTAAGAATTGGTAGAAAACAGGTTTTAATCTGTTGGCCGGCTACAAGATCATTTTTAGTAACCGATATCTGTTCTCACTGAGTTATCGATAACCTTGGCGTGATAGTTCTTAACTCGGAATAAGCGCAGTCAGGATCACCCTCACTGCTTAGCCTCCATCTCTAGATTTCAAATTTTACTGAACGAGAGTACTTACCTCTTTCATAAGCCAAATCTATCCGAAAAGACGCCGTTCAAAGATATCACAAAAAATTAACTTGCGCTATCCTCATACCGTGGTAAAATATGTACTAATTTTACAGCCGGAGGGCTCGAACGAATTGGCACTCATCTCAACAATACTTACAGACTGAGCGGCTCTGTTTTAAAGAACGTTAGATCAGTTATTTGATTAAGGGGATAACAGAATAGCATTCAACAAAACAATTGTTATGAATTGTCGTTGCCGGTATATTAGTCCTTAAGGCTCGTCAAATAAAGACGCCAAATTTTCGACGCGTCGGTCCATGCGGCTAAGAATATCTATGACAGCTGCGCGTTCTTGAAAAAGTGTATGCAATGTATACGCGTGTGAATTTCTGTTGTAATAAAGAGGAGTACTTTAAAACTAGGTATTTTAATTGGGTCCAAAATGTTCCCACGTTGAGATTTTTTTAAACCTTGTCATGCAGTAAAGTGAAGATCAACTGTTGCTAAAAAGGCAATAAAAATAATAGGGGTCACGGTGACTAAGCTCGTTTTCGAGATCAGGCACACTGATGAAAATGCTTTTTAGAAGCTCTCCTTATTTTAAGACGGCCATAGCTTACAGCTATCAGCAATAAAAAGCTAAATTAGTAAAATTTGGATCAGGTAATCGTTCTTAATTCGACACAACTAAGTCTATTAACTAAACGTTTGCAGATGATGCCTTTCTTTGAGGTAAAAAAGGCCTTGGTAGAGAATTATATTATATGGAGGTCATTAGACCTATCCGCCCACATTGAAAGACAGCTTTGATAGCACGAGGGCAGAAAAGGCGAAATATTGTTACTTCTCGCGGACAAATTTTTCCGTTTTGTTGTTAAATTGGGAGAAACCTCTGTAAAGGAAGTGATCTGTGTAAAGGAAAGACGGGGTCACACACCATTTAAGGGAAATAAATTGCAGGTGAAGTTAGCGCAACCGGCACTAAGCTCTATACTTACTTTTATTAAAAACTGGATCACGGAAAATTACATTTTAAATCTTTCCATTGGCTTAGCCATCATGGTATATGAGCAATTATACCATGCTCTATAAATATGGTAAGCGTAGGCCTAATTTTGGGGGGCGTTTTTGTCTTTATTTAATTTCAGTTTGAAATATTTTGGGGCAGTTTCAAATAAAACAATTATTCCACCCGCGCTTGTTGGATATCAGATGATTATAGCTACCTGTCATCTCATATCCAACACACGCTCGTGGAATAATTGCTTATTATTATCCAACTACAGCGATATTGTACAGTTATTTGTACAGTAGAAAACCTGTTTGCCGTACAGGTTGGCGCGCGCACGCAATACTGTCACACTCTCCCTCTTTCATTGATAAATTTATTGACTACAGCAGTTGGATAATAAATCTCTTAGCTTATTAGATGTTTTGGTGTGTAGTATCGCTTTATATTTTTACTCGTTGTTTGTATTTCAAAATAAGGCACAACTCGTAAAAATATACAGCGATGCTACACACCAAAACATCTAATAAGATTTTTTTTTTCCTTGCGTGCGCGCTTGATGTGTGATGTGATTACAGCTCAGCTAGATGATTTCATTATCTGATACTCGCTTCTCGCCGCCCGCGCTACGTTGCTTCGCCAGTTTAGACAAGGTGTCTAATAATCGACCGTCACTCTTGATTGCTTATTTCACTCGGCAATGAAATTATCAATAACTAATAAAGCCTTTATACTAGCAGAATGAGCCTCCCAATTTTTGAGAAAGTTAGAACGTACTTGATATATGGAACCTTCCAGCATTAGCAAACACTCTCTTCCGTAAAAAAAACAAAAACAAAATCAAAAACAAACAAACAAACAAACAAACAAACAAACCATTCAAGATGATTTCCAGTCCGTACTGCGCAGCCTCAGCACCCTAATATTTATGAAACATTTTAAGTCTCACTCGATGGAATGCGAATCGATGTTACGAATCACATACCTTATCTTTGAGGCCTATCAAATTTTTTTTTCCAACAGCTTCATTGATTTTTACAGCTGTGAAGTCGTTTCATCAATATGACTGAACGAAGCATAAAGCTTCGCATCCATAACGGCGGATGACAGGAAACTTTGAATTTACTTCATGCAAGTAGTTGCGAAATGTTTACATTTTGTGATGTCTTACATGAATCAAAACAAAAACCGTAAACAAACTCTCGAGAGTGTGCAGTACGGACTGGAAATCATCTTTAACCTGGATGTCGGCAGGCGAATTCTGCACCGAAGTATTGATATTGATGCTTTCATTACTGAATGGCAAGTTTTATAAAATATCTGTACGTAGGAACATTTTGGGTGCCGGAACTTCCTTAAGACATGACAATCAGCTACTGCAAGTGAAAAACGAAACTTGACAAGCGAGATGAGTAACTGGAACTGAAAATTATTTTTTGTGATACCATAAACTCCTTTGTATACAAGTGGGAACATTTTATAAACTGATAGATTGTCTAATAAATCAAACCCTTTGAGCTGATATATGACACTTATAGTTTATTCCAGCAAGCACCTATGTCAGTTCAGTGTAGCCAGTTTGGATATATTACAACAATCCCCACTAGGAAATGTTCTGTTTAGTATTACTTCCTGAAATACTATTTTAACAACAGTTTAATTCAACGATCATATAGCCAAGCGATTTCGTTGGTGAAAAGTCGCAAATTTAAGCACGCACTTAATTGATTCAGAACTAATTATCGCTGAGCATTTTCTGTTAAAATCACCAAAATCAGTATTAAAATTGACGAAATCAGTCAATCATTTCAAAACTGCAATTCAAAACAGAGTAACTTTGAATCGAGAGAAACGGAAATCCCATTGAGTGCATTGATTCAACTCATCATTTTTATTGAAAAGACAATGGAAAGGTACTCACGAGTTACATTGAGAAAGTTCCGCTTTCTCGGTCAATATTTTCCTTCTCGAGTCCCTTTATTTTGAACAAAAGCCAATCGATAACAGGACAATTTGAAAACAGACATGAGTGTAACTTCCGTGTTTTGTCCAAGCTTTGACAGGTGAAATTTGTTGGTTTCTTTGCCTTGCCATACATTGGCAATGCGAAGTAACAATGTTTTATTTTCGGTGCTTTAAATGGGACAACATTACAAACCATGCATAAACGGTCAAGGGAAGATGAAATTGCTATACAATTAACAGCACAATCATTAAACCGAAAAGTTTCTACTCTTCTGCTTCAAAAATGAATGTATGCAGAATGTAAGTTTGAACTGTCTCAAGGACTTAAAGTGGTTTTTGCCATTAATATTATCAAGGTAACATTTTGCTTCAGTATCTGAGACGCTGTACGTGTAAAAGGAACATTAATCTACAAAAAAACATGGATTTTTATTAACAGTTTGAGTGAAGATTTGAATCTCCAGCCATATTCACTTCATAAATAATTTAGTCCTAACAGGCAGGCTTTATAACCATGCCAGTATTTAGCTATACAACGTGAAGCCAGTAATGTTTTCTAGACACTATATTTGCATTTTTAGTTAAAAGTTATCATTTTAAAAGGTTTGTTTTGGTTTCATTTCAAACATGGCAATATAAACAGAACGTGAGGGGAGACCTTATGTCCGTTTTCATAAGTTTACAAAGCAGCGCTGATAACTAACAAACGTTTCCTTGAACTGTCATATTTTATTTGAATTTGTGTTTTCTTTCTCGTTTAACGGCTAGAGGTTTCTCCTTTGTCAGGGAAAAGAAAGCGGTAGTTATCATTTAAGATATTTGTTTTCAAATCAGCCCCTCGATCGGAAAAATCTCGTGGGGATGAACACATGTAAGATCAGTTGCAACACTTGTTCAATTAAAGAAAACTCCCGGAGTTTGCGGCACTGAAATAACATAAAGATGACGAAGAAATTTAAAATAAAGGCATCAATAATAAGGTTATTATCGCAAAGCTGACAGCAATTTAAAGCAATTCTTGCTATTTGCAACTTCTAGTAATTAGGACGTTGCAAAAACGAGAGAGGCCTGAATGAAATACAAGATCCTTTAAAAATGGCTTTTTGATCATAGGAAATGGTTTTCTTGGCAAGATTAAAACTTAAGCTGAATGATGCCAATTGGCAAAGGTTTTTCAAGTAATTTCATAAGCATTCAGGTCTAAAAATAAAGAAACGGTCGGCGATATTTCTCGTATCAAGTGTGAACTTGAGAAACAATGTTGTCTCGATGTATGTTATCAATATCTTGTCGATTAAAGCAAAGTCAAACAATTCAGTTGAGTCCTCGCCGTTATCAATAATAGTCAATAACTTTTCCAGATGGATTCAATCCGTGCAATTTCACATGGAATGAAAAGAATTACATATTGATAGCCGCTACTGCTCTGTTCGCCTACATGGCTTGATGAGAAAAGACAAAATCATATTTTGATAAAAACAATGCGGTCATGTTTAACTTTGCGTGGTTTTCAGTTCGACAAACTGTCGCCGGTGCAACAATTAGAAAACCAAAAAAATTGAACAAAGTTTTCAATACTATTTTCACGCAGTTTATTCAAGATAAAATTAAATTGCATCAAGGTCAAACTACATCCGAGGAAATATGAAACTAATTTCGCTCTATGGTATACAAAGCAAATGGCCAGATCGACAGGGGAACTTTTGTGAAGCGAATTTTAATCTTAGGGTAATTGTTGAATTTTAGTTTCTCTCTAGATCATGTAGTTAGTTTGTAACGATTACAGCTAACTGAGAAATGGCAATACGACTAAAATTATTTAGTTTTAGATGGCATTTGTAACTGTGAGTATATTGTGAGCCGATTTACATTGGAGAGCCTTTCTTTAGCATAGAGGCCAATTAAATTGTGACTCAAACCCCTCCAGCCGAGAATTAGAGCGATGAAAACTTGTCGGATTGATAAAATTGTGTTAAACTTAGCCAGAAGAGCTTACCGTTTGTGGTCAGTTACTGTAGAGTAGTTGAATCTTTGCGATTCTTTAGCGAGACGTTGTCCTCTCTCACCAGTAAATGAAGTTTGGCCGCTAAATGTTTACCGCGAGTTAAAATCTTTCTTTGATTTCCAAAAAGTAAACAAATTAGGTGCGTCAGCCGGCCCTGTTAACATACCCCTAATGGCTTGACTTCCGTTGATGGTTAATGCATGTAATATTGTGGAGGTTGAGTTTCCTCGCTGACTATTGTCCAGCATTGTTAGAGCGAAGTAGCTTTCATCTTCAAGGATGTTAGGATGGCAGCTAATTCAAGCAGTTTCTTTTTACCTCATACATGCGTAATTCCGGCTATTTTGTTTCGTTTCATTTCGCAAAACCAATCCTCGGAAACACCTACTCTCTAGATTGAGGGCTGTATGAGATTGTCGCAAATAACCACTAAGATTCAGCAATGTTAATTCAGAAACAAATGCCGTAGAGCAGTTTCATTTAATTGATTAAGTTCAAAAAGGGTTTTGTCGCCTGAAGTGATAAGAATTGTGCAACATAACGGATGTAATTCTTTGCAATAATATTAACAAAACGAAATTAAGATTTTTGTCCCAAAGTCAGTTCAGTTTTTATGCATACAAATTAATCGAGTTTACAAAAAAATTTCTTTTACAAGTAGTTCCTGACGAGTTTTCCTAGGCCTTTTTAGTTAAAATATGCGTTTACTGCAGAAATTACAGAATCAGATAATTGTCGTCCCTGATTTGAAGTATAACTCTGATTTAAGTTTCCCCTATTCTTTTCCGACGAAGTCACAACAATGAATTCAAATTAAAAGAGGCAATTTTAGTTTTCGCCGCAGGTATCACTGATAAAAACTCTGGCGTGTGGCTTCAATCTTCCAATTACACTATTTGCCCAGGAAACGAAATATAAACTTTAAAAAAAATATTAGGCGATTTTCACACGAAAGCCAGTTATTTATCAGTGGACACTTACTCATTCTGAGGCCTAAATTTTATATTGTGTTTTCAATTAATCTTTCCCGTATACATCGCATATAGTCGTTTCGTGTCAAGTGGCCGCGCCTAGAAAAAAAAGAATTCAGCTTTAAGGTGAAATTAGGGTTGTTTTTTAAATATTGGAGCCTGGTTTTTATTTCTGAAAACAAAAATGGTCATGCAACCGCAAAGAGCATCAGACTTAATTTCATAATTAAGGTTTAAAAAGAAAGAGTTTAAAAATTTTTTCATGCTTGGAACATCAGTATAGAGTGACTTGTATGCGACCTATCTTTTCAAACACTGAAACTTTCATTTTTTCAGCGAAGGGCACAAATCCTGCTCTTGACTTCTGCTTTTCTGTGGGTGGCTTAATTTGACTGAGAGAGGGTCACTTCAATTCATACTAATTTGAATATGTGTGACGAAAACGGATAGTTCAGTCTCACAAAGCGCTCGTCCTCACGAGCTGTTTCAGACAAACAACTGAATTACCTTGTGTTTGCCCACCTTCAGGCTGCTCACCTTTTTTGAAATTTTTCTGAATAAGAAGAGCGGTGAAAAAAAAATTAACAAGGTGAAGATTAAACGCTGTTCGGGTCTCAACATGCATGATCCGTTTACATAGGTATTGCTATGCATGTCAAACAAACAAACAAGCAAAAAAAAAACAAAAACGGACAAACAGGTAAGCAAACGAACAAACAAACAGATAGGCAAACAAACAGGGAAGACTTCTGCGGCTTAAGCAATTTAATCAATACCAGCACAGCTACACGCTCGGCGCTCCCATACCTAGGGGTGACAAATTAATGGTCCTTGAAAAACCCTGGGTCTCGAAAATTTTATTCTCACGGTCTTGATTTTTTTTCTCGAGCCATATCTGGGTCTCGATTTGTTGCAAGGCTAGAAAAGTCTGGAAGTCCCTTGATATAATAAATATTTCTGACGCAACTTTCGAATTTTCCAGAAAAGGTTCATTCTAAATTCTCCTAACTTGTGTATGAATTCACAAAGCCCAAAAAGCGTACGGTCGTGTACCGCCACGTCTGTAGAAAAATACTTAGCTTGTTCTAGGATATCAAGACGTGGTGTTATTTCCAGATAATCTCGTTCTCACGATTTAAAAAGGGAAAATTTCTCGGGTTCGCGAAGAAAAGCGCTAATTTTGCGTCTCGTAGTCTCGTCACTCTCAGTCTGGGAGGACTGTGGTGTTCGGCTGTCTGTTTGGCTTAGCAACCTTACCTGTATCAGCGAACTGGTTTCTGGGAGTAATCCGCCATCTTGTATCGTTGCACTGTTTGCGACGGCACTAAACGTAATCCCGTTTACGTTTTAAATTAATTTTCCCTGTGTAAAATGGTGAAGATGAGGCCAGAGACGAAAAAACGCATTCAGACTGTCATAAAATTTAGCAAGACAGCCTTTCATTGGGGATTTATTCCACTCATTATATATCTTGGTGAGGCGATTTTTCACACGTGCATCTGACACAATCCAGTTCGAAGCAAACTATAAAAGTTGTAACTACCTTTTATAATTGTAGATACTTATCAGTCATTAATTCATCCTTCTGCAGGATTGAAACAAGGTGGTGAGCCTGGAATGCCCGAGCCAACTTTGTTGAGGTGAGAGCGCTAGCTATGAGTTAAAAAATACATATATAAGCTTAAGCTTAAGCTCATGGTACACGATAAACTGTTTTTCCTGTTGCGTGATTTTTGCACTTTTTTGATTACATATTTATTTTTCTATGTTTTTGAGAGGAATTAAAGTCGACTTCCGTTAACACGGACCCTCGCAAACTCAAACTTCACCCTAACTCGAACCGAAAAAAAAAGTCTGTAGTCTGTAGTCTGCATTTCTATCCTGTCTGCATTTTACCCGCAGCCTGCAGTCTGTAGTCTGGGTTTTACACTGACCACCCTGTATTCTTTTCTTTTGTTTTCTTTTTCTTTACACAGGACGCGTCAATCCAGTTCATGTTAAGCAGTTTAGGTTACACTTAACTACAGTGCACTGAATCTTCAAAAAGCCCTGCTATTTGAAGATCTTGTGTCCCTTGAAGTGCAGTGAGCATGGCACTTGTTTTCCTACCAGTACCCCATCATCACTGTTACTTCCAGTCATTTGTTTACAACTCTTGATAACTCAAACCTTTTTCAACTTCCCTTGAAGGTTCAAGTCATCAGGAGTTGACTGTACTTCCAAACTAAACTACTGTATCCTGATTCTGTTGATCATGAAGTGTTAAATGTTGTTTTCATTTTAAATTTTCAGTCTTCTGTGGGCCTAATACAGGCCATTCCTGTGAGAAGTGTCGCTGTAGAATTCGTCGCTGTCAAGAGAAAGAAACACAGGTTAACCAGTCTGCTGCTGTGATGTGGATTTTACAAGCAAGGTTTCAGCAGTGGACATAACAGAATGCTTTGAATTGTATCGTATTTCCTGAGCAAAACATTTCAACATGACTGTTAATAAAATGTTTACTAAATAAATTTTACAAAACTATCAATACTAGTTATATCAAGTCTCTTTGTTGTCTCTTGAATAGCCTGTACTACAACTAACAAGTAAGCCTCCTGTATCAAGACCATATGTATATATTTAGGCATAGGCAAATTATTCATATGCCCATGCCTAAATATCTATAGTGTCTAGACTATTAACAGTCCCAATAGTTGTTGAGCCAAAAATCTTTTGGCAGTCACACTTAGTCAACGAGCTGCTGTATGTTGGGAAAAATCTGGGAAGAGGACAAAGCCACTCTTTGTCAGGGGCAACGTGGTGTCAAAAACGTTTGTAGTTTTGTCATCTCAACAGCTTTCTCTTACCCAAAAAATCCAAAATGGCTGCAGCCCCATTATCAAAAATAACAGCATAAAATAGAGGAACCTTTCATGGTGTAATGTTTAATGTTTATAGATCACAGCATACATTTCTAGTAGTTCTGACACTCTTTGTCCTTATTTACTTCACCTTGCATCCTAGAAAAATGAGGGGTGGGTGTGTGGCCCGCTTCCCAAAACCCTGACCCTATGTATGGCCCAAATCTGCAATTTTCCCTATCCTATTTATTACCTGACCATAAATTTGACACCCTATTTATGACCACTGTGGCTGGCACAGTTGCCCTAAACATCATTTATAAAGGGATTTTGTTGATGGTCTTACTTATGATGAAAAAGTAGCTTCTTCTCAAAACTCTACTTAATTCAAGACTAGAGTGTAAGAACCATACCCTATTTTATGACCAAAATGGGCAAAATCGATACCCCCTGTTTATGACCTTATCAGCTAAAAAACCATACCCTTTGAGGCTGCACATACCTGTATAGCCCATATAAAGGAATGTCCCACTCGCGTTTCGACTCTCTGTTTCACACACGTGAAACAAAGGGCCGAAAAAACCGGATGTTATGATCGACTTGGTAATGCCGTTTACTNAAAAAAACCTGAAATGTTGCTCACTGGACAATTGACACCTTAACGTCAAATCAGACTCGATTCAAGCAAAATATTTCAGTTACATTGCATAAGTCTATACATTACAATCCGTGAACTACTTGTGATAGTTCATTTTAATCATTTCAACTTGATAGTGGTGCCATCACGACTCCAAAACGTTGTTCCATTTCACCCCTTATTCCATTTCTTTTTCATTCACTTTTTTTGACGAGTTGCATTGCATGTAGTGTTACCAAACCTTTGGTTACACCAAAACAGTCTGAGATCAAAATGATTTTGCTTTCTACTGCAGTACTTTAATGATTTGCTCTGACAAACTTAATAACCAACAAACCATTTAGAGTCAAGTTTATTTTACACATATACATCAGTTTGTTTCCAATGAGCAAAGATACCTAGCATGCTAACCACACAGATCAATTAACTTACTATTGAACTTTCTTAATTTTCAAAAAAAGTTAACTTAAATAGACCGTTTTTGATATATTAAAATTCACCTTGGCAGTGAGGCTTAGAGGACACAAACAAAGGAAATTGAATGACCATGTTTATTCATTTCTTTTGTTTGTGTCCTCTAGGGTTCACTATCAAGCTGAATTTTAATATATCGAAAGTGGCCTATTTACCTATAAATGAAGATTATCTAGCAGTGAAGCAGTTTCTCTATTACAGGAAGATACAAAACTTAAGCACATGTATATCTGCTTAATCTGCTTATAATATTCTCTCTGGAACATAAAGCTGATGTTGAATGAGCTATGTCAATTTTGCAAGGTTTTCTGTTGCAGTCCTTTCCAGTCATAACCATCCCTGCTCATTACCAGTAAATTATTGATATAACTACTTGCTCCTTTGGTGTTTTTTCCGCACTCAAGTATTCTTTAGAGCTGTTTCCATAAATTTGAAACTAAATTGAAACAGGAGTGTAATCTTGTCCCAAGAGCCTACTTTACTTTTGGTCTGCAGCCGGAACACAGGCTCTGGCTCATTCCTTTTTGTTCATTTTCCAATGTCTGCCAATCAGATCCGAGTAAAAGTCTGTTAATCTGGGACATTTAAATTGGAACTGGCAAGGGCCTGTGTTCTTGGTGTTGACTAAAAAATTAGTGGGATCAGGGGAAGCACATTGGGAGAGTCATCTATGAGCTGTTGACATAATGATGGAGCAAGCAAAGAGAGTTTACATTTTGATAATAGACTAAAGTGTTTTCTAAAAGAAATAGAAGACATTTTCTCAATGTTTCTACCAAGCTATAGATTGAAACACTTGCAGAAGTTTGGGACAACTCGGAAAAGCTGGCACTGGAACTTCTAATAGTGTTTAAGTTCTACATAACTCCATAGAAGCATGGAAAAAGTTTTCTATTACTTAACTATAGGTATCTTTGCTTACTGAAGGTAAAATATTGTACAGAGAATCTAACAAGATCAGAAACTACATTCATCTAGGTAGGCTTGATTTCCAGCTTGTAATCGAGCCTAGCATCTACAATCTAATAATAAAATAATCCGCAGATGTTTTAAAACTACAACAGCTATGGAGAGCACAACATATTCCCAGCAGTAACATGGACTATATACTTGATAATGTTTTACCTATGGATCATCCATAAGGACAGTTTTACTCAATTTTGACCGCTGCACATAACATGACACTGTCTTAATTATCAAGATGATACCAGCTTCAAAATGTTCCATATTTAAATTCTCTTGGGAGAGCATGATTTTTATTCAAGACCATTCTCTTGAGATGGTTCCACTCTTTTTTTCTTTTAATCTCTGTGCTCAAAAGGACATCAAAAAGAAAAAGGCCATGATCCACTTCTCTGGTGTTAAAATGGGTTAATTACTATACAGTGTAGCTATTTCTGAAGTTCATGTGCGATGTACCTCTTATGACATTTGCGTATGTCACTAAATTTGTTGCGACATTTTTCTGTTTACTTACAAGAATTGTAAACAAGCTTATTACCATGGAATATGTGGTTACATACGTGTACATGTACTTGCACTCTCTTACATACATGCAAGTAAGTAGAAACACTCGTAGATCTTTTAAAATTAATGTGAACTTAACATGAGTGAACAGGACTATGAGTGTAGATATCAGTCCAGTCTGATCAATCTTAAAGAAGTTAAGATAAAATGACCTTCTATAGACTTTCAAAATATAAAGGAAACTGAACATTGCCTTCTTTTTGTTAAAAGTAATAAAAAAACAGATGTGAGACAGTCTGTTGTTGTTAACCCTTTTTTACAAGATCGGAGTAGTCCAGGAGGTTTTCTACTTTTTAAGATACTAGGTAAAAAGTTAGCAGAAAAATTCTTCAGCTCTCTCCATTTTCATTGTTTTGGGTCCATGTTACCCTGTCTTCATAAAACTTAATAACTATCTGTGGCCATTTAACATTAGCGATGGTTGATGGTATCAAGTCGGCTCTGTCTGTGCCTTTCCTGAAAGACAAAAGTTTAAAAAAGTTTTCAAGGGTTTCATTAGCACTTTCAGCAGGAGAGCAACTGGTTTTCACAGGTGAGCAAAACAGTTTGAGCTGAGCTTCTTTATAAGAAAAACTTTCCTCTAGATGGTCAAACCAGCCGGGCAAAATCATCCTCACAGCCGGGCAATGGACCAATTTCAATATGTTAAAAGTCAGCCTAACACAATAGACCTCAGTTCGACGCTCCGGGGAATAACTACAGAGTTTGTAGGGTTTATTCCCCAGAGCCTCGTGCTAAGGTCTATTATGTTAGGCTGAATTTTAATATGTTGAAATTGGTCTATTTGCCCAATGCCCAACCCTTAATGAAACCTGAGGTTACATGAATACTTTTCTTACGACCCTTTTTGACTAAATTAGCACGTCGCCAGACACATTTACACGTAGGCAAACTGGGGGAAAAGGCTCAGCATACTAGTGTGGTAAAGGACTTTCACTGTTCAACTCTAGAATGTCTCACTGCTCACAGCACTGCACGCTGTAAACTTTGACAATACTGCCACTGCTTGGCAGCACTAAGGTGCAAACTTCCTCAAAAAAGGAAAGAAAGCACACAAAAGACAGGTTATTCTATCAATGCTGCAAGCACATTTCACCTATTCTAGATATAGCTGCCAAGCGCACATGTAGTGCAATATTGTACAAATGCTGCAAATATGAACTCAGTTAAATGACCTTGCCCTCCATGAGTTCTCGTAGCTCAGTGGATAGAACGCCTGCCCGACGTCCAATTCCTGTGGGGACTCAGATTTTTTCTTTGTCCCATGCTCGTGTCATGTTGATCAGCTCACTTTTCACATTTCATTAGCAAGCTTAAAATTCATCATCTTTATTCTCTTATCAATTATTCTTGTTTTGTTTTGAACAATTTTTGTCCATGTTCACGGTCTAATGGAAGCAAGGACTAAATGTCTCCAGCCACGTTGAACAGATCTTTGAATCAATAACATGCCCACTTACCACTGTATAAGGAAATGAACCTGCCCTTCGACATCTGTAGCTCCAAGAATAGAAGAAGCTTCCCAACCTTCAGCCAAAGGATCAACGTCATCTTCCTTACTAAGATTATCCTCGTCTTTACCTTCACTAGCATCATTTACATTTACATCAAATGGTGCCTTGTTAGTAACACTTGCTTCTGTGACCTTTCTTTTCTTGGTTTTGCTTTCAGTCTTTTCACTGAGAGAAAGTTGGAATAATTTACAAACAACTGCAATCAATAAAATACACGTACTTCTACAATTCATATAAATTAAATTTGTGACATACAAAAACACACCCTTTTGAAAAAGTGAAAATAGAGAAAGTTAGAATAGTTTCCAAACACCTGCAATCAATGAAATAATTCCATAATTCATATATACTGGTGTATTAAATTTGTGACCTCTCGTACAAAAACATACACTTTTAGAAAAGCCATTAACTTTCTTATTTCATTTCATTTCATTATAGAATTTTATTTCTGGCAATTTATCTAAGGGTCAGAAAAAATTGCATCCCTTTACACCACTTGGGTAAACCGTAAAGGGGAAAATGCAACTCTTTTAATAGCTTGAGTCATTTGAGACAAAATCTAACTTTTGATTTTTCTTATGATTATCTCTTTCTCTCCTTATGTCCACTCTAACATTTCCTGGAATAAAAAAAAAATGAAATAAACCCTGGGATTTCCTTCTACGCACTGATTAGTTTAAGAAACTTTAGTTGGAATTCCCTGTTTGTGACTACAAGTTCTGTAATCTGATTGGTCAGTTATTTCACACTGGTTGTTCTTTGTACAGGATTGATAAGGCAAGACTGAATTGGAAAGGTTTGGAGCATTAGCACCAAATTCTATCCCAGATGTATATGAAACCAACTTTTGGGCATGCACTTTTGGAGAGTGGAGTCTATGATGAGCTAGCTCAAAAGTCATTCTCACTAGCACCCCAAACTGTTATCTCTTACAGTAATGGACCCTTTTGGCAAAACAGCAATCATTTTGAATTTTATTGTTTGAAATAGCTATTATGGGATGCTCAGGGGGCAAATACATGTACATACTAATTTGCCCCCTGAGCATTGCATAATAGCTCTTTGAAACAGTATTGCCGAAAAGGTCCATTCTGTAATTTGATTTTCCTTGGAAATTTTCCCAAGAAACTTAACTTACCAATGGGGGCAACTGAACGATAAAATCCACTGGCCCAACTGCAAATTCCACTATCCCCAGTGATTACTGGTCACCTCATCGCCAGGAATTCTCGCCACCAACCAACTCGCCACAAGGCAAAGTCTCCTCGTGACCAAATTACTAACGATCTAATGACATTACACCAAAAGCCAAAGAGACTGAAATTCGTTTTACTTTATTCGGTTGTATAACTCACACAGCTCGTTAGTTGTTTGATCGTTTCGCCAAAGCCTCTTATGAAACACTTACATAAGCTTAAATGAGCAATAACAACACAGTCAGTTCTCAAGGAAATATACATGTAGTTAAATTCTAAAAAGCTGTGGTTTCTCGTTAGAAAACAGAATGCGCATCGTATCACCTCACCGACGACAAGTCACGTTGACATCGAAATTTGCAAACAGAAAAGCTAACAAACTTACAAGACAATTAAAATTGGAGTTTCTTGAACAGCTAATACACCTCTAGTTGAACACTTTACTCTAGTTTATCTTTCTCTTGGGGTTTAGTGGCCAGGTGGTTTCTTGGTGGCAAGATCATTGGTGGCAAAATGCCCTGGTGGTGAGGTGACTGGAAACCTCCCCAGGCTATCACACACAACTTTCTTTGCATGGTACTATAGAGTGAAATGAATTGTTTGGATATTACCTTACTTTCTGAGAGGGGTGGTAGGGGCAGGTGTACAGAAATGTACAGAGGTGTGAGAATAACCTATGGAATCCTGTGTATTTTCCAGAGCTCTAGTAAGAGTGTTTAGAAATTTGCCAATCATACGAGGGTTGAATCCAAGGAAATTTGATCCTGAGCATACGTACTTATATAAGCCTAAGCTTTAGCGCAACGTTCGGGTACCGTAGTGCAATGTTACATAAGCTTGTAAAGACTCCTCAAACTGTTGTGGCACATGCACGAATGTACAATTTAGCTTAAGCTTACAGGGGATCTTAAATTCCCCCTAAGTGATTGTCATTTGTTGAATCAGATCTATACAGTAAAAAAAAAAATGAATCGTAGAATGAGAAAATTTCGGTCGTCAGTTACATGCAAAAAGCTTATTAACCCACGTAAACTTGGAACTAGTAAACATGCATTTTAGTCAAACGTGACTAGACAAACGAACCTGTGCTCTTTTCTCTTCTCCTTCTTTTCTTTCTTCACTTCAGCCGGTTGTTTTCCAAGCGCCTTATTCCTCTCGTATTCTTCAAGTAATTCCGGGCATTCAAGACTGTCCTCCGGTTCCCAAGTGTTATCATCTGAGGAATATCCCTTCCATTTTAGAAGGTATTCGACCTTACCTTTGTGTATACGCTTGTCAACGACTTTTTCAACCTCATACTCTTCTTCTTCGGTGGTTCCATTTTCATCATCTGCTGTTGGAGGACGTTTCTCTGCTATGATTCCATCCAGAAGGCCTCTTGTCATTTTCTTCTTGCCCATTTTTCAAACGTAGGAAGAAAAATCTCAGTCCACACGCTACTTCGATCGATCAGGGATTTCGACAAACTCAACGTCCTTCCCGCGCACGCAAAGCTTCTAACGCACGCTCTGATTGGTTAATTCAACAAGTGGGGTAAAGTAGAATTGATGTCATTGGCCAATTGGTAGCAGCCTTGCAATTAGCTACCACTGACCAAGGCGGCCATTTTGAAAAAGAGTGATTAGCAATTCAATTTTTTATTTAAACACAGCCCATTGCCCTCATTCAGCCATGTTTTGAACGCTAATTCTCAGGGGGAAAGCAGTAAAACCTTCAACCGACAAAAATGGCCTAGCAGTTCAATGTATTTCCCGAGAGAACGTGTTGTTTTTGGATATGATAAGCCGTGAAATCGATGGAAAGCGATGAACAAACAGAACAAGCTCGCCAACGTGCTCTTCATCTTGCTGCTGAAGTAGCGGAAACAGATGACAGTAATGTGCCTGTCTTACTGTTACAGTTGAAAGGTACTTTAATGAAAACAAAATACCACAGTTTGAGTTAGAGTTTGTTGTTTGGCACTTAACAATAACTTCAGTAACTTGCTCTGTTAACAACCCCCTCCACTCACCCGAGAGTTATTGTTAGGTCATGTTGAAGAGACAGAAAAAGTCAGTGGGTACTTAAGCTTACTTTCAAGTAATTACAGCTAAAACACGCTCTTATTATAACAAAAGTATCTGGAAAATCTTTTCTAAAGAATAAAAGTTTTGCTCTCATTAAAATGGGAGGCGCAGTGGCCTCATGGTTAGTGCGCTTGTCCCCGGAGCGAACGGTCCGGGTTCTAGCCATGGACACTGTGTTGTGTTCTTGGGCAAGACACTTAACTCTCACCGTGCCTCTCTCCACCCAGGAGTATAAATAGGTACCGGCAAATTGTTGGGGAAACCTAATAAATTGTAGGGGAGTGACCTGCGATAGACTAGCATCCTGTCCAGGGGGAGTAGAAATACTCCTAGCCGCTTCATGCTACAGAAACCGGGATAAGCTCTGGCAGCTATGAGCCAGTCGGCTTCAAGG